CGTGCAGGCTCCGTGCGGCCTGGGGCCAGAGCATGGCCCGGGCCCGGGCCCGCGCCCCGACACAGGCGCACGCGAGACGGGGTGGAGGGACGGGGCCTGTGCCCTGGCCTCTGTATCCGTCCCGCCCCGCCCCGCCCGCTGAACCGAACTAGGACAATCCCAGCGGCGCCGTCTACACGTGCGACCAGCGCAGGACTGTACTGCTCTGCTGCTAGACTCGCTTGTACGTGACGGGACTAATCCGCAGCGCCCGAACCGCGCCTACGTTACGCTTTACTGCGCAACAAACTGGCCTGGTGTTTTCCAGGCAACACGGCTCCGTGGGCAGGACGCAGCCCTGCAGCCTCATTCGACACTGGTGCTTCAATCAAAACCTTGGCCGACTTCCCCATGGTCCTGCCTGGGGCCGCGGCAAGCGCAGCGAGTGGTCGCTGGCTGCAGGACCCGACATTTGGGTTGCCTCTCTCGAGGACACCGATGTGCCAGGGCCCCGTCCTGCGGGACCGTCAAGCTCGCACAGCATTTATAATCCCCAGACGGGAAACCAGCATCTTCCCAGCCCGCTCCAAGTGATTCACACCCGGGCCAACATGGCTAAGCCTCCCGCAGGTAGCCCAGCTCTTCCTGGCCCGCGGACAGACGGACTCCTTGCGTCCCGGCGCACCGCTCTCCTCTGCAGCCCTGTTAACTCATCCCCTCGTCGCCGCTCACGCTGCCAAACAGGCGGTTTTCTGCTGGTGCCAAGTTTCCCCGGCCTGACTCATCGCCAGGAGCAAGCTCTCCTCCCGGCCACACTCCTGGAGGGAGACGCAAAGCCTGCCAGCCAGGCTCGGGCACCACAACCGTCAGCCCCAGCAAACCCTCGGCGTCCAGCCCTGGCGGGATCGCCCCCAGCGCCCGGGCGGGAGCGACGCACCGGGACCACGGCTCGCGGGAGGCACCTGTCCGGCAGGGTCCCGGCCACGCCGCCCAGCGAGGAGCAATCGCCGCCCCGGCCAGGACACGGCTCCAGCCC